ACTGGGACCCCATGATCATCAATTATAAAGATAATGCCATCGATTTCCAAAGATCATTAATTCAAACAACATGTAAACATGAGAGATGTTTTGAAACACATGATATACAAATGGAAAATTGTTTCAAGAAGATTAAAAGACAACGAAGTCTACATGAGTTTTGGAATCAATGAGGTAGTTTCAACGTGTTAGAAACTGGATTATGAATTCTGATTCGTTCTCTTTTCAATCGAGGAAGTAATATGTTATTGATACAGAGAGCAAGTACTACACAAGCAAAGGCTATGAAGATCCATTCTCTGTCGGTCAGACATAGATTACATTTCGCATTATCTTCAATTGGTGATGCTGAACGCGTTCCAAAAACAGATTGGAGTTTTGGTCGCACATTGTCTTCAAATTGTTCGAAAGTGCCAAGTAGAAACACGTTCCATCCTTGTAATTTTGGGTGTTTAGAGTTACTTTTAATTGTCTAAGATCGACCTAAGTTCAGTTGGATGGAAACAGATTGTTTTAAAGAGAAAAGAGTTTATTTCTGATGCAAATGATTACAATAAGCAAACAAGGTGTGATAGAGATATCATGAATTGTTAGTAGCGGATAAAGAAAGGATAAAGGTGTGAGTTACAATTCTTTAACGGGTAAACATACCGACCATCTTTAGTTATGCAATGAATAAAGAGTAATGGGGGAAAATAGGGGATCAGAGGGAGAGAGAGACGGGCATGGTTATAGCATGGTCCTAGGGTCGTCGGCGGCCCTGACAGAATGTCTGGCGGGTATTTATACTGTGTTAGTCGGTTGTTTTTCTTACGGTTAGAAAGGGGTTTTAAGCTTAAGCATTTTCTAAGAATTTCTAAGAAGTGTACAAGAAAAAGATAAGAAAAGGTTTTTCTATATAAAGTTTTAAACTAAGCTTGTGGGCGCATATCGAGAATCATCACACCTGTTGTGGTTTTTTATATCAAGAGTTTAAACCGTTTTTGTGTTGCAGACGTTTTTTCATACAACATATGTTCTTTAGAGAGTTGCGAAAGTGTGTGGGATGATTCTGGATATGTAACACTAAGTCTAGGTGCAGGTCCGTCCCGCACGGGTGCCTTTGCCAGCCATAGAGGGCACCTTTCAGGAGCCCGAGCAACTCCCTCAGGTGATTGATGGGAGGAGTCTTACCCTCACATACCATTTCAAAGCCAATGTTTATGAATTTTAAAGACATAAGGTAGGTCAAAACGTCATTAACCTCCAAAGAAACCGCGGAGGCGAATCCTTGACTCTCTATGATGTACGAGAGTCTCATCACCATTGACGACAAAGTCAAATGTACTTGAACACAAGCCATTCCAAAAGAAGAACGAGAGAGAGAGAGAGAAGAAGAGAGAACGGAAGAGAACGAGTTGTTCTGACTTTTTTCAAGCTCGAGCGATTAAACCTTCTGAATAAGAATCATCAGGCTATCTAACTGACCAACATGTAGAAGCGAGTAGATGTACAAAGGTTTTCGTAAAGAAGTTATACAAGAATTTTAAATACATATAGAACATCAAAATATCTTTGAAATCTCTCGAATTTCTATACTTTTCAGAGATTGAATTGAATAAAAAGTTCCAAAATGACTATTGCAGATGATTATGGATACGAGAAGAAATGTGATTACTAGTTACTTAACAAGAGTAAATCTTTGTAAAACTGATTCAGAAACGAGTCATTGATTGTGATTGAAGTGCCTAGCTTCCGGAAATGAAAAGCGAAATGGTGGACTTAGCTTCTTTCACGATCTCATCATGGACTCAATGTTACAACTCTTATTTCTGTTGTTAACTAATCACAAAATAAGGAAAAACATCTATCTCTTAATGCAAGTCATTGTTGGCAGAATGAATAATTTCTCTCTTGTAGTACGAAATTGAAAGATTACTGAAGTTATTTTGAAATTAACTACGATAATGATATACATTGAAGTAGGAAAACAATTCAGATATGGATGTTAAGAATCATAATCAATGTAGGTTGGTGGTACGTACATGGGATCTCTGGGGTTTCGTTATCCTTGCGAAGATTATCTCAAACTCTTCTTCATCCGTGCTACCTCTGTCTCTACTCTTGTCCATATGTACGTGTTCAAATAGGTATTTTTTAAAATGGAATCGCTCGGGATGAGAAGAATTCCTCCTTTTGCTCTAGTGCATAGTTGATATGCTGCTCTTCATGAGTGAAGATGACATCGGTTTGCGTGCTTGGAAAAACGATGGTGTTGTTTCCTATGATGGCTTCGTATTCCTCATGGTTAATGAAGACGCATCTCCTATCATAAGCTCTATGGCGTCCTAATGACTATTGGTGATTCCGACAAACAATTTCCAGGTTTCGCAAGACATCCATCGATTCAAATTACTAGTCTTGAATCTTTCTTACACTCGTTTCGGGTTATGGCTTTATTTCTGTTGTCTTCTGGTTCTCATGAAACATACGTATGCGAGTCCGTTTTAATTAAGCTTTTCTCTTTCCATTTTTTAGCCTTCAAGGGGTGGGAATCTTTTCTATCGTGGAGTTGGTGTCTCGTAGAAAGAGAAAGTCTCTAATGCAGATCTTATGCACTTCTTATCATTTTTTGATAACGTGCTCTGGTTTGTCTTGGTTGCAC